TTGTTAATACATATTAGGATTTTTTAGGGTTTTAAGTGACAATTTTCTCTGTCTTAATGCAGGTTTATTCTGTTGTAGTTTTTTATGCTTTCAAGGTCATCCTTCCACTCACATCTGGCTCTTATCTTGAAAAAGGCTTGTTATATTAGGTTCCGGGATGGATCGAGAGGGGATGGACCTTGAAAATTTAAAATTATTATATATTTTAAAAAAAATTATGTATTTTTTATTGGAAATTTATTTTCGCCCCTTAGAATTTTAAAAATTCAAGTTCACATCCCTAATATAAAATTACGCATCCATACATGATTACGCTCTTTTGCTATTGTCAGGCTTTGTCGAACTCGCCAAAGTTCCGCTAATAAGCTGTTGGTGTTACCAATTTGTATGGTGAATCCACGTATCTATACTCCATCGCGGATCAGTCCTTCAGCCGAAGAAATATATATACTATGTATGTATGTAAATAGTGGAAATGAATTGGACCATAAGTTGCAATAGATTTTATGATCATCGAATAAGCCAGTTCGATGAAACGGTAAGGTCTTGTTCTATATTCCCCATGAATAAGGTTAAAAAGATGTTTTTTCTATTTTATTTTTCGTTTTTACTTGGATTAAGAACTATATGAGATTGAGCTTTATATTATATATTTTTGATTAAAGGGTAATTATGTTCTCATAGTCACTGCAAATCACTAATGTTGTTGCTTATTTTTAACTATATCAATTTAGTTTTTAAACTGTTTAAATTGTATCAACATTATCTTTTGATCCACATAAATTGTCGTTGACTGTTATAGTACGTACTAATATAATAATTATCTTAGCTCACCTGTTAATTAATTGTGTTAATGCGATAGTTCATGTATGTCTTGTGTCGTTAAACTTAACGGTCATGGTTTGTTTTGCCTTATCTGTTGATGTGATGATCCTTGTTGGTATTAGGGTCTCGTTTTGAGCGAGTTTACTATGCAATTTTTTCAATCATAGACTTAACCATCTCATATACTTGACTCATTTTATCCAACTTTCTTTTCGTTATCGTATATTGCGAATGCTCATGTTTTAAACTCGAAATGAAGACAATATATAATAGATAAATCATCTTCAATCCCTGAATATTATGAATAACTCGATTGAATCTTAAGGTATAATGTAAGGAGGTTAGACATGGCTCATGTTGCATGTACCACCCTAAGGATAGTCACTCTAACTTAAAAATGATTTTATTGGCCAAGAAGTGCCTACAAAATACTATGGTAATCCTCTAAAAATATAGATGGAATTAGAAGGACGAGAGTAATATCAATTTTTGACATACAATGGGTAGTTGAAAAGATGTTGCATTTAAGCTTATTAGAAGCTCTTAGAATATCCATATAAATTTTGTTCTATGATAGATGATCTACGGAATCCTCAGTGTTATCACGTACTTTTTTTGACAGCTTAAAAGGATTAAAAGGCTTTTCTCCTTGGATCCTTCGATTTCTTTTACGAGTTGAAGTAGAAATTCGAAATCTAGAGTGGATCAAAATCAAAATGATGATTCTTATTAATGTAAATTAATTTGTAATTTTTAACTTTTGATAATAGCCACAAAATTTGGACATAGACTTTGGACCGACACACGAGCAAACCTTTTGTCTTTCACGTTCTTTGAACATGTCGTACATGTACAATTTTCAAAAGAGAGTGGGTGAGTTTCCTTTTAGTCATAACTAATTAAATTTGACTTCTTTAAGGTGGAGTTGAATTTGGGAGCAGAAAGGCCAGTTGTTTGATGGTATAGAGTTTAGCGATAATGGGGTTCGACACCCGAGATTAAAGACGTTGATTAAAGGTTCCAGTGGAAGATGTGTGGTTTGTTTATTGGTCCACCGTACGGGGGACGGCTTTTCGTTAGAAGACGAGGGTCACGAGGCTCAATGTGGCTTTGATGCTCCATGTGTTTTTTCTTTCTTTCTTCCGAACTGGGTTAAAAAGGTCTGGCCCTTCATTATTCATCGGCGCCGTGTCTCGCTAATCACAAATCCAATGAAGTTAGGGGTTGATCTACCAACACTAGACACGGTCCAATTATATTAATATAAACATAACATTAAACTTTGTAACGCATTTTCACACCTAATATGAACATACAAAATATCAACTGAATTTTAGCACGAGTGATATATCATTGGTATCAAAATAAAATCACTTTCAAATTTTAATACAATAACTTTTATCATATTATATTAAAACTATTTATTACAATTATTTTTAATATTTTATTTTAGAGTAATATATTTACCAGCACCGGAAACTTTCAAATAATTTGTTGTACGTCATCTTGAACAACATACGAGCTGCTACGCCAAAGGGGTAATTAATTCCGGGGTAAATTATACCAATCATCACTCAACTGTATCATCTCTCCTATTTCACTCAATGTACTTTAAATTCATTCAATTTCCTCACTGAATTTAGTACAATTATCATTTTTTGTCACTCAGCCGTTAAATATTTAACGCGTTAAAACGTCACCGTTTTAGAGAAACAAATTTTTCGCCAAAACGATGTCATTTTGCATCTATATAACTAGGGCTGTGAACGAGCCGAGTCGAGCTCAACTCGACTCGAAAACTCACGAGACTAAAATTTTCAAGCCCGACTCGAACTCGAAATCATGAACTGAAGCTCGTAAAAGCTCAAAAAGAAAAAAAAATCTTAAACTTAACTTGATTAAAGCCTCAAACTCGAACTCGAACCTAAACTTTAATACATTAAAACTTTATACTGCATTTAAAAAAAATCAACACATAAATTTTAATATTATTAATAATTTTTTTTTTAAATCTTAATATATTATATTTTCGAGCTACTCACGAGCTTATCGAGTTGAGCATCAAGTAGCTCGTTTCAGCTCGTTAAGAACTCAAGTCGAGTCGAGTCCATTCAAGTCGAGTATTTATCGAGCTTTGACCAATTTGATCTCGAGTAGCTCACGATCTGTCTCATCTCATTTACAACCTTATATATAACAATTCATTTATAACGCTGTTTAGTGAGAAAACGGTTGAGTGACCACAAAAGTAAGTATGATAAATATTTAAAGTACAATGAGTAAAATAGGAGATAGTGAAAAGTTTAGTTATGATTGGTGTAATTTACCCTTAATTCAAAGAGCTAAACGTTGACGTTTGAAAGTTCATGATAAAAGCAATGCCTAAAACCGGGTATGCATGTTATTTAGGCATGTAAACTAACCGAACGAATATAAATGAGGATATGTTCATATTTATTCATTTAATTTTAATTAAATAAATAAATGAACACGAACAATTAAACGAATGAAATTTCTTATTCGTTTTCGTTTATTAAGAAATTTAGTTTGTTCGTGTTCATTCATGTTCGTCTATTTAAATGATAAACGAAAACAAATGAATATACGTAAACAAACACAAACGAACGAACATAAACGAACGAATATAAAATTATTTGGTTTTATATTTGAGAAGATTTTTTTTTCATTTCAAATAATTTTAGGATTTATATTTCCTTAATTGATTTGAGTATTTTTTTTATTTGAGTTTAAAATTAATCGAGTTTAAAAATATTAAAGGGATTAAAGTTAAAATTTATTAAGTCTTACTATTTCAAACAGGGTTGAAGAACATATATGAACATAAATAAACAAACATAAACGAACGGATTATCGAACATTCACGAAAATAAATGAACGAATTAGTCTTTTATTTGTGTTTGTTCATTTAATTAAACAATCATAAAATCTTATTCATGTCCGTTCGTTTAATAAATAAACGAACAGAAACGAATTTTCCACTGAACGGTTCATTAAACGTTCGGTTCGTTTACAGAACTATCATTATTTCTCTTTTCCCTCTTTTCCCGTGGAAATTACAACAAACTACAATTTATCATTTGTATTGTTATTTTCACATATAAGGAACTTGAGAGCCTGCTTAGCTAGTTTAATGTTTTTCACTCCTTCTGTATTAAAAAAAAAAGAACATGAGAGCCACCTTATAAATTATGGTACAATTAACACCTAAATTTATTTAAAATACTTTTATAAATTTTATATAAACATTAAAAATTAAATTAAATCATTTTAAAAATATAAAATAAATATAAAAATTAAAATTAAAACAGAGAAAACATAGATAAATATACATGTTCACAGCTTAGATATCTATAGTTTAATAAAAACAATTTTATAATTTAATTTATTGAATTTAAAATAATACTTTGTAACTTTTTCAACCGATACAAATTCAGTTATCTTAATTGAATAATAAAATGAAATTTATCTGAAATAATAATTCTTTTATTAATTTATGGATAAGTAAAAGATAATATTTGTTTGAAGATTTTCAACCAATTTAACAATGAATGTTTAAACACTCTTGACATATAATGTGTTCAAATACTTTGTAGCTTGATTCGTACTATCTAAAATAATAAGGCTTGAACTAAAAAAAAGTACTCAAACACAAGGTTCTTAATCTTGAGGTCGTGCGATCGAGTCCCACGGAGGGCATTTCATAATTCGGAGGTCTCTTACGGAAGCTGCTCTCAACCTGGTGTTGGAACAATCTACTATCTTACCTCCCCTTACCCCATACATATGGGAAAAATGGACAGACATTTTTTTTGCTTTAAACTCATAAAATATTTTTTAGTTAAAATAAATGCCTAATTTTATATGTCATATTAACATCTTATTGACTGAAATAATTTTTTAATTGAAGGATTTAAAATAATTAAATATAATAATTTAAATACCTAATTTGATAAAAAAAATAATTTAAATATCTAAAACAAAAAAGAGCATAGTTAAAAATATTTATTTTTAGTTTAAGCCAAATAATAATTATGATAAAAACTTTCAAAAAGTAAACATAAATTGAATAATCGGAGATGGCATTTACGATATTTTCAGCAAAATACAAATCCTAAACCATAATCAGAAACTCAACTATAAAAGCAAAAATGTGAAGGAACAAAACATCTTCCCGTTGACCGAAACTGAATCTTCCCGAGATATTTTTTTCTTTCTTACAATGTCGGAAACAGGTTTAACGGTTCTGGACGGAACCCATCTCCGGTCGCTCAATCCCGCTTTACCTGAACTTAACGGCGCCGTCAGTGGGTCTCACCTCCTTGAAATCGCTGACTCCAAAGCCTCTAGCTCTATCTTTGGCCTCTCATTACCTCAGAACCTTAAAGCTTCCGCTCTTTCTCGTGTCATCGCCGGATCCGATGATCAAGATGATGACGTCACGTTCCGGCAAGAAGAGTTCGGAAAAGACAAAGCGTCCAAGTTTCTCTCCAATTACATATCTGCCATTGCTGATGAGATGAAAGGTAAGTGTTGATCAAGTCAACTTTGTAGTTAAGATATTTATATGTACAAAAGTTCAACCTTTTTTTTTGGGGGGGGGGACCTTTAACTGTTTGGTAATTTTATGATCTGGGGTTTTTCTGTTCTTTCATGTTATTTTGAATTATTGAAATTGGTTTTACTTGATTTGTTTAGATGATCCATTAGTGGTGTCAATATTGGATGGGAATACTTTGAAGATGTTTATGGAGGACGAAGATGATTACGCTATGGTGGCAGAGAATTTGTTTACTGATATTGATATTGAAGATAAAGGGAAGATTTGCAAGAGTGAGATAAGAAATGCACTTGTTCATATGGGCGTTGAAATGGGGATTCCTCCATTCTCAGGTTCATCTTTCCATTTCCATATCATTTTCTTATGTTTTTTTAATGTGAAGTTGTTGCGGATCGATAAGGTCTTTGATCGACATGTCGTTTTAGATGACATGTTTGACATCGTAAGTTTAACACCAAAATGAGATGCTGTGTGAGAAGTTAACTTCTTACATCAGATGAAGTGTTTATGCAGCAAAAAGTTGAAAATTGTATTCATGAATCTAACTTGGTTCGACTTTCGAGCGTATGAGGAGAATCGTTTCGGAATCAAATAAGATCTTTGATCTATTCCCCTGCGTCTATTTTGTATTCGCCTCCCCGTCATTCTAAATGGCATGTTTGATACCGTAACTTGAACACCATAATGACAATTGCTACGTGAGAACTGAGAAATGGATGTTTTACTCCGGAACTCGAATATATTCATGTATTTAACTTGGTTCGAACATTCGAGTTAATGACTAAAAGTTCAGACGTGAAAGCCTCCTGTTGCCATTCTCTTCCATTGATTTGGGAGCTGTTACTGCCTCTGGAATTAGGCAAAAATGTTTTTAAATAAATAGAGCATTTCCCTGTTCCGTAGGTGACTCTCGTGGTATCAGAGTCTAATCTTCGTGTTGGTTCCCAATGTTTAAACAGAATTTCCTATGTTGAATGACATCTTGAAAAAGCATGGGGCTGAGGGGGAAGAAGAACTGGGCCAAGCACAATTCGCCGAATTACTTCAGCCAATTCTGCAGGAAACAGCTGATGCATTGTCCGAAAAGCATGTTGTTGTCATACATAACATCAAGGTTGTCAATGGTTCTAAGCTAAGAAAGGTAGATCACAAACCCGATCATTTGCTTCTTATATTTGCAGTAATATGAAGTTAGAGGATCTTATGTTTCTCGAATTTCAGCATGTAATCTCTACTCGAAGTTCTTAATCATTCGAGAAAAGGAAGGGAGATGGTTTGCATCCATCCAAATGGCTTAACCTCAAATTTTCTTTCGTACGGGATAAGCGGAAGCTACATTGCTCCGACTCTTGTTTTTTTTCCTTGAAGTACTCATATTTGATGCATATTTGTCTGATTCATACTCTTATCCGGTACTCACGCCCAAGAATGAGTAACATATGAGTGGAAAAACTTGAATATTTAACATGGTTGATCCAATATAGTAGGAGAATTAGTTTTCCATTGTGGAGAATTATCGAACTTTTGAACTCAAGGATGAATTCTGACGTCTATATCTTTAAACATTGCAGCTCTTGGCAGATGAGAAGCAACTCAACGATGTCATAGAGAGGCTTTCGTTGGAAACAAAGAGCGAAAAAGATGAGCTACATAAGACAAAGCTAATCAGGAGTTACTTAGAGAAACATGGAGGTGATCTCGGCTTGCCACCATCGGAATCCAACGAAGCTGTTATTCTTCTCTACAATGCGGTATTTTCCGAAATAGAGAACGAGAAGAGTGTTGCAGGAGCAGATGAGGAATTCAGAGAATTCGTGAAAGGCATCCTCGAGAAGTTTGCCGAACAGCTCGAAGGTAATCCCATCTTTTGTGACCTTGAGAATTGAGGGAGCCCGATTCTTCGAGTAACGGAGTCTGTTCATAGTTATCCGGCATTTAGTTCTCTCCAGAGTGGTTATCATGTTTATAATTATCTGCCTATCTATATTGTATACATGTTGATGAGGTGTATGTTGAAACTAGTTTTATCACCATTACTGCCACATACATTTGAACCACATTTCGGCAGTATATCTAATGATTTAGGGCACTTTTGGATTTACATGTTGCTTTCTAGGGTTATACAAGGCTAAGTTGGTAGAGCACAAGGCTCTTAATCTTGGGGTCGTGGGATCGAGTCCCACGGAGGGCATTTCATAATTTGGAGGTCTCCTACGAAAGCTGCTCTCAACTTGACGTTGGGGACAACCTACTATCATACCTCCCCTTACCCCATTACATATGGGAGTAAGGGTGAGCTAATTTTTTCTAGGGTTATACAAATTTATTGACTAAATTGAAAATAAAAGAAAAACATTTATCAAATTCAAAGGTTAATATTGCTTGATCCCTATTTCAGCCCCAGGTATGACCACTCAAAGGTAAAACCAGTTTGCTCAAAATACCGTGATCCATATCATGAAACATTCAAGGGGACCACCCCAAAAAGCCCCCCAGCAAATTGCACTGCTTTTAGATAACAACTCGACTTCGAAACAACCATGAATCGACTGTGTCCGGAGATACCGATCGAGCACATGGTTCATAAGTGCGAATTCATTCCGAATATACTCGAACGAAGAAATGATATTTTATTTAAAGGCTAAAAAAGCCTTGGACATCATCTTACAACAGTGGGGTAACCATGGAAAGCTAAATTTGAATACAGTGCGAAAAAACTTAAACGCTTTCCCCTTCAACAAATTAACAATAGTACACAAACTACAGTACCAAAAATAAATAGTAAAAACCGGATTATGCGTTCCCACATTCAGTGCCAACAAAACTTGGCTTTAAAGCAACTACACGAGCTTTATTTCTTCATTCTTTGCCATCGGCTGCACGGAGTGAGCCCAGCTGGACGGGAGCTTGAGTTCCCACAACCTTAGATGACCCGTAGACCGTCAGGTCAATGCCTTGCGCCTTCTCTTTCTCGATTTGTTCCTTGATCCAGAAGTAGGTGATTCTCAGCCCATCCTACAAAACAGTACAGTAAAAATATGTCATAGGTGAAAAGGGGTGACCTCGGACTTATCTTTATGGGCAAAACAACCACAACATTTGATGGAGTTGAAGGCCGGCAGAAATATTTGTAAACAAATGTAATTCAGTTACCTTCAACCTCATTGTAGGAGCCCAACCAAGTTTTTCTTTGATCAACGTGTTGTCTGAGTTACGACCACGGACACCCTCTGGACCAGGTATGTGATGAATTGGAAGCTTTCTATCCTCAAAACTAAGAACAATCTCTGCCATCTCATTCATGCTAACCATCTCATCACTCCCGATGTTCACAGGTTCACGGAAATCCGACTTGGTCAATCTAAAGACATCAATTTTAAAAAGTTTAATCAGTAAGAAGCATACTTTCCTCTAAATTATTGCCTTAAGTATTGAGTTTTGGCTGAAGCAAATATAAAAATGCAAAATTTTACCTAAGTACACCTTCAACGCATTCATCAATGAAGGTGAAAGATCGGGTTTGAAGACCATCTCCCCACATCTCAAACTTGTCGATGGAAGTAATAGCCTTCCTGCAAAATGCAGCTGGAGCCTTCTCCCTTCCACCTATAAGACGGATAGACGAATTTAGTAAGTTACAAAAGCAGCAACATACATAAGCACTCACCAAAGGTAAAGAGTGTACCTTTCCATGTTCCAAAAGGACCATAAATGTTGTGAAACCTTCCAATACGGCACTCAATTCCAAAATCTTTGGTGTAGTGCTTGCACAGCTCCTCAGTTGCAAGCTTTTCCAAGCCATAAGCATCTTGAGGCTAAAATCGACGTTTAAGAAGTAAAACTCTATCACAGTGATCAATCAAGCATAAGATTACCAGATAATAGTAATTAATGACCACAAGTCACAAACCTCAGCAGGCCAGGCATCCGATTCTTTCAAGCTCACATTAGTTTCCAACTGCTTAAATTCAGGGTAGATACAAGCACTAGAGGCATAGAAAAACCTATACTGACCAAGATATCGAGTTTAAACCAACCGTAAACTTGAAATGGAATTGCAATGAATAAAATGCAAACACACAATGCACAAAATCCAACAAACCTCTTAACTCCACTGATCCTAGCAGCCTCTAGCATGTTGAAACTGATCATTGTGTTGTTGTACATAATGACAGAGTGATTTGACTGAATGAAACCCATACCGCCCATATCGGCAGCAAGGTTGAAAACGTGATCCACTCCTTTAGTAACCTTCAAGCAATTCTCCATGACTCTGAGATCGACAAGGTGGAATTCATGACAAAACATGTCCTCTGTCATGTGTTCGTTCTTCTTCCAGTCAGAAGCAATGATGTAATGGCCTTCACTCTTGAGACGTCGAGCAATGTGGGAAGCAATGAACCCACCGGCACCAGTGATGGAAATGCGGAGTTTCTCCGAGGGCCAGTAAGGCTCCCTCTCCAGGGCATCATAGGTGTAAGCACCATATTTGGTCCCATCAGCACTTCCCATCCTGCACATACTCAATTATTAAACCTCCATTAGTTACAAACCTACAATTTGTATTTTTGAAACTAATAACCATTTTCATGTTATATACTATCAAGTATGACCATTCAAGAATGACAAAATATAAAAAAGATAAAATAACAAGTTGAAAATGCAACAAATTTACAATTTAAAGGTGTAAAGAATCTCCGAGTACTAAAAAGACAGAAGATAAGTAATCAAAGTGAAGTTTAAGAACATAAAAATTCAAGCTTTCACATAAAGAAGTCCTAAATCCATTACTTTAGATAGTAAAGCCAAATCTGATGAATTTTATATTATCAAGCCAAATAATTGTCAAATTAACAAGTCCTCATTCAGAATAAACGTGCAAAAAAAAAAAAGTCACTGAAATCCTCCAATTTTTTTTTTAAAAAAAACATCCTGACCAGCAATTCTTTATATTTTTTTGAAGAGATTTGACAAACAGATCTTTAAGCAATAAGAGTTACTGCTAAAATCAGATAATTTTCTCAAATTCTAAATTATGCATAAAGGGGGTAAATCAAGCACAAATTTTCAGAAGGATATGAATGAATCTCTTTAGCTTCAAAGAATGGCAGTAGAGAATCCAAAAAATGAGAATCAGAGGGTCAATTAAACATGAAATTAAAACAGACCCAGAAAATTTTCAGCCATGAGTAATGACAACGAGCATTGATAAACAACAAACAATACAGGTGTAAAAAAAGAGAGAAGGAAAACTTCAGAAACAGGGCACTGAAACAGGGAATGTGAAAGAAAACCACAGCGAAATTTACCTGAAAAATAGTAAAAAGTTGAGAACTTTGAAGAGAAAAGATAACGGAAAGGCAGTTTGAGGATTGGAGATGAAAGGGTATGGATTGTGAAGCCTGCAGAACTCCTCTTTCTATATATAGAGAGGGCCGCAGGGGAGGGGTGGAGCTCTATTTATTTTTATTTTATTATTTTCCCTATAATTATTTTATTTGTTTTCCAACAATTTTTAGAAAGATTTGGCGACAGAAATTCGATTATTTTAAGGTTTTTGGAATTAACAACGAAGGAAGAGAGGCGCACTTATTTTTGTTATATAAAATAACAATCAAGATTTGAGGGTTATTTTATATATCTTGATGAAGTTTAAATTATAGAAATCAATTGATGAATTGGAATCATGTAGCAAATAAGTTATAGTGTTTTATTTTTTTTTACTTTGGATGTGGAAAAATTAATGTTGTTAGATAGTAATGTTCTTCGTCTCCTTGAGGAGAAAGTAAAGAAGTAAGGAGAGGTAATTTTATCCCTTCTCTATATTCTAGTCGTGAGGTTTTATTATGATTACTTGCATGTTGACATGTTAAGTGGATTTGATGAGTTGATCGTAGATCAAGTTTTGATAAATGATAAGTCATATGAACCTATTATAAGTCATATCAAGAGGTAACGATTTTTTAACTCTCAATAAACGTCAGACACTCGAGGTCATTCGTTCTGAAATATTCTCTGTATATATTTTTTGGAATTACAATGACTCTAAAGATATAAAAATATTTTTGAATCTTTCAAAAATCTTTAAATATAGAGTTGATATATAAAAAATATTTGACATAAATATAATAAGATTTTTCATTTACTATTTAAATATTAATATTTTTTTATTAAGTTAAGGTGATTACAAATAAATATATGTTCTAAATATTCTCAATCTTTTAAAAACAAACGCTCAATCACCCTGTTGTAACCGCTGGTGCTTAAACATGTGACCTCTAAAAACAGGGATGGATCGCTCCACCCGCCTCTGAAAATTAAAAATTAACATATATTTTAAATTTTTTCTATGTAGTTCCTATTGAAAATATGTTTCACCCCTTAGAATTTTAGTTTGCCCCCTGGAATTTTAGTTCATCCTCCTTAAGTTTAAGTTCATCCCATAATATAAAATTTTGCGTCCGTCACTGTCTAAAAAATAATTCCTTAAACCGTTAAGGTAAATTTGTTCGTGCTAAATATTAATTTTTATTGTTATTAAATATGCCTAAAGAAATACATATGATAATCCTCCTTCTATAAGACAAAGTTAAAATTTTTAATATTTTATATTATAAAAAATAGGAAACCATGTTATTTCAAGTTAATCAAAATATTATTTCCTTGTATGGTAATGAAATTGAGCTGAATAGGATGGATTAGAGAGATGAATTTTAGATTTCGTAATTGAAAATCATACATTGTTGGATAAGCAGCGACGAACACCATTAATTTAATTTATAAAAATTTAAATTTTAAAGAATTCTAAATTTAATTATAAATTAGTTAAAATTTAAAGATAAATTATTTAAAATAAAGGGTAAACTATACCAGTGACCATCTAACTATTGCCTCTTTTTATTTTGACCAATATTTTTGAAATTTTACCAATCAAGTCACTCAACTATTTAAATGCATTCAATTAAACCACTTGTCGTTAATATTTAACGGAGAAACTAATGTGGTAGTTAGAATATTTGGTATAATTACTCATTTGATCACTTTTACTTATATATTCTATCAATTTGGTCCTAATTTTAATAAATTAAA